TTTGCACATAAAGTATACTGAGAATTTGCACATAAAGTATACTGAGAATTTGCACATAAAGTATACTGAGATTTTGCACATAAAGTATACTGAGAATTTGCACATAAAGTATACTGAGAATTTGCACATAAAGTATACTGAGAATTTGCACATAAAGTATGCTGAGATTTTGCACATAAAGTATACTGAGCTCGAGAATTTGCACATAAAATATACTGAGAATTTGCGCATAAAGTATACTGAGAATTTGCACATAAAGTATACTGAGATTTTGCACGTAAAGTATACTGAGATTTTGCACATAAAGTATACTGAGAATTTGCACATAAAGTATACTGAGAATTTGCACATAAAGTATACTGAGAATTTGCACATAAAGTATACTGAGATTTTGCACATAAAGTATACTGAGAATTTGCACATAAAGTATACTGAGATTTTGCACATAAAGTATACTGAGAATTTGCACATAAAGTATACTGAAATTTTGCACATAAAGTATACTGAGAATTTGCACATAAAGTATACTGAAATTTTGCACATAAAGTATAATGAGAATTTGCACATAAAGTATACTGAGATTTTGCGCATAAAGTATACTGAGATCCCGTATTATAAGAGTTATTTTCAGTGCTTATACTTTGAGCATTTCAGTACAATATGTGTACGTTTCAGCATAGGCTGTATGTATTTCACATGTTGTGAAACAAGGTTTTCTATTCTAATATGTGCCGTAAACTTTCAATAGTGTGTTAAAGTAAAGTATGAATTTTGCAACACACGACGCCTTACAAATTTCAACCGATCAAAGGACAAAGATCGTCGCGACGGTGCTACTGATTTCTGTAAAAGGTTGATTTTTGTTGCAGTGTATATAGTTATTCTGTTGAACGCTAGGCGGTTTTCAAGTCATCTTAATGTATAATTTCTCACATTTTCTTCAATATTTTGTAAAGCCGTTATAATATTTTGTAGTATATTTATAGCGTGTTACTATATTTAGAGCGTGATGTTGTTTTTCAAGTGTACAACGACTCACATTTTACCAGCAGTGGCAAGCATTTACCCATGCGCACAATACAAAAACTTGTCAAACTTGTTTTATCGGTTGAGAATTTAATGTTTCGTCCGTGAACTGGACGGCGGCTACATGAAACAATCGTTCGTTTGCTCGCAGTGGTTTCTCCTCAGCTCAGAAACCACTGCCAGCAGGGTACTTTGTGTGTTAATTTTGCCTAAAATTTTTTTAGTGGTTTCCTTGAAAGCATTAGACTAGTTCTACTATCTGACAAAGTTTGAACGAAAGTTATTCGTTGAGTTATCTAATAAAATACGTTTCGCTGCAATAAGAAAAACATTGAATATGTAATACTCAAATTCAATTTTCTCCGTAAAAATTTTATGGCAATTACCGATTGTCAAACCGAGTTGTTTTCCTGGGGGGTTTTAACGAATTTTTCTCAAATTTTCACAGGACATAGCTAAAGACGTCAGTTTCAAAATGGTGTTCGGCTTTTTTCTAATTTTGATATTTTAATAATAAGGAGTAATTCACACAAACGATTCAGAAATATATTGCAGTCGTCAAAGAAATCGCCATGCATATCAGTGGAATGACGAAATAAACAAAAAAAAAATATTTTTTTTTAACTTTTTTACTGTATAAAAATGATATTTTCATAAATATATCTTAAAACCAGCAGGAACATAACTCAAAAGCGTAAAGGTACCGCAATTTAAGATTTTCCGGAATAATTCTTACGCGGTTATTTTATTGTTTCTCAATTTTATTTATTTATTTATTTATTAACTTTACAACCATACATAAAATAGACTAAAACACTACATAATATGGTTGAAGGTATGGTCAACAGGACATGAATAGCCCCATATGAAGACCAACCTTAATGAAAACAAACTATAACAAACATAAATCAAAGACGATAACAAATATAAAATTTACAGAAAACATGACGAATTACGAACAACAGCTTAAGTTGAAAGAGCGGCACTTAGAACAGAAGGTTTTACAACTTTACCATATTTTGCATGAAATGGCGAACATTTGGTGAAAATTTAAATCAAGCACACAACTCGCCTATACGCTGTCGTAGGTCGTAGACGTATATACGAGTCTTGTGCTTGATTTACACAGACACAGTCGAGTTGTAACTTAGCATGCAGATTGCTGCATGCATGCATGCGGCAGTTTTAGGCCAAATTAAAAGTTGTGTAGTCCTTAAGAAAATTATATTGTTAATATGCTATTTTTTGTTAGCACTTGGGCCTATATGACAACATTTGTAGGTTAAAGACTATAATTTTAGGTTACAAAAACTATCAGTAAAGCTGTTTTTTAAATCCTTTTCGCAATGTCTATAGTTTAAGCAAAGTGCGACACACGCGTGCGACGGCGACTGTTATTACAATTCAGGGCGAATAAGTAATGTTTTGTACGAAATGTCAAACCAAAGGAAGAGCATACCGAAGTATGTTGGAAAAAGAACCTTTTATTGCTCTGTTTAATCATACGAAACGGCTGACGCAAATGTCACGGCCGAATGACACAAATCTCAACATTTTTGAAGTAGCTGGTATAGGACTAAGGAATCGGTGCTGTGACTGTGGTGCATTATCGTAGTGTTATTTATAAGGGGTAGTCAACAACTGGAATTATAAATTAAATATATAGGGAAAATATGAAATTTAAATTGATTGGAGCTCACGTAATTGTGGCTTTGGCCGTTCCGCTGTCGACACAAACTGCATGTACCAAACTAAAGCCCCAATCAAACAAGCTAAGGATTCTGAGAGTTGGCAGTCATGCACGCATTGACATTGACATTGTTAATATACGTACATTTCAAGCTCTAGTTTAACCAAGTAAAGGTTTGATGCATGAGTGTTCCAACTATGACTATGAGTACTTAAATAGAACTGATACATGCATGCATGCATGCATGATAACGTAGGGAAAGCATTAAAAAGTGGTTGCATAAAAACAGTGATACCCTCGGCCGATATATACTGTTGAAGGAAAAAGGGTTTTTTTACTATATTTAAATCAGCTTTATTTATATATACTACTGTATATCAGTCCTAAACCGCGCTCGTAGGCCTCTTTCTGTTTTTACCAGGAATGACTATCCAGGAAGTTGTTTGAAGTTACTATAAGTCTATATAGGAGTATATACTGACTTAGTTTAATTTAGTTTAATTTAGTTTAGTTTAGTTTAGTTTAGTTTAGTTTAGTTTATAGTTATCAAACGAAAATTCGTGGGACTAAGTAATGAGTAATGGACATTTCCCAAAGACAAATTGATTAAATTTTAGTTAATTTTGGAATAACATTCGATGAGAAATTGGCAAAAGTTTGTCTTGCCTTCCCGTTTGTCTTGTTTTGCTGAATGCGTAATTAACCGTTTCAAAGAAAAATTAATATTATACACGAGACGTAACTTATTTTCCTGTCTGAGGTATGCAGTCAGAGTTTCCTGTAAATGTTGAAATACTTTCATTTAAATTCCAACTCGAAATATCCGTTAATAGTGTGATGCAAGGACATAATTTGTTTTGTGTTCTTCATGACATACGAAAAAGAACTGAATTTAGCAAAAGTATGTTAAATTTGCGTGGATGTACGTAAATGTAAATGATTTTCAAGGTCATGCACCTACAGGGGTTAAAGACTTCCTTAAGTTATAAACTATTAGAAGCCATAAACAGGACGGGAATGCTCAATCATTAGAACATCCGTTTTAGTTAGAGCACAATATTTATATGAAAGTGCATGGTATTTTCCAAGTCTAACCGATCCCCAAGTCAAGCTGGTAGCACTAAAGAATCAGTTCTGTGGTACATTATCGTAGCGTTATTTACAAGGGAGAGTCGACAACTACATGCAATTAAGGTAAATATATAAGGAAAATATGAAGTTTAAATAGATTGGTGATTGTTCATATAACCAGTTTGGGAGCCGAAAAAAGTCTACTTTCCGAGCTAACTTAATTGCGAATTGGCTGTTCCGCTGTCGACACAAACTGTATCAAACTAAAGCCCCAGTCAAACGAGGATGAGAGTTGATGAGAGTGGGCATGCAGTCACGTATTTCTTATATATATAGGGCGGACATTTCAAGCTCTAGTTTAAACAAATAAAGGTTTAACGAGTGTTCTAACTATGAGTTTGGCATTAAAAAGAGTTTGCATTAAAACAGCTAACCTTAGTGTGACTGCCAACTCGCATGCGCTCTCTCATCCTTGTTTGCTACAGGATTCATTAAGCTATAAATTTACTTGAAATGGATGCTTCTTTTTCACTATACTCTCCGTAAAGCCCCAGTAACTCAGTAAGAATGCCCTTACTACATAGTCCATTGATACTCTCGGCCGATACTGTTGAAGGAAAATCTATATACTGACTATATATAAACCAGGCTTATTTATACTGGTAACCCTATCAGTCCTACCAGGAAGAATTATCTATAGGGAAGACTATCTATGGGGAAGTTGGTTTGAAGTTTAATTTAGTTTAGTTTAATTTATATAGTTATCAAACGAAAACTTGTGGGACTAATGGACATTTCCCAAGGACAAATTGATTAAATTTTGGTTAAATTTGGAGTAACATTCGATGAGAAATTAGAAAGAGTTCGTCTTACTTCCCGTTTGTTTCGTTTTGCATTGCTGAATGCGTAATTAACCATTTTCATAGTTTAATTTATGCATGAGACATAACTATGCAGTCTTTGAATGGACCTATTCCCTAATGAACAAAATTTTGATCTAGACAAGTCTAGACAAAAATTTCATCACAGCTTGAAAGAGCGTCACAAAATTAGTAATATTCCGAAGTTTCGTTGCGAAATGTTGTAAAATGCGGATAATATAGCCCTGCGAAGTTTGCCGTTTTTCAGTCATTTTGTATTACGCACGGGAAATTGATACCGCTTTCTGAAAAAAGGTATCAATTTCCCGTGCGTAATACAAATAGACTGAAAAACGGCAAACTTTGCAGCGCTATATTATCCGCATTTTACAACATTTCGCAAAGAAACTTCTGAATATTACTAATTTTGTGATGCTCTTTCAAGCTGTGATGAAATTTTTGTCTTCACTTGTCTAAATTAAAATATTGTTCATTAGGGAATAGGTCCATTATAAGACATTTTGAAATTAATTTGGTTTTTTTGTAGTCCCTAATTCGATTGTGATCTTTACCAAACTGCATTAAAATGGATCCCACTAAAACGAATTTTCCTCGACTTTCTTCGCCCACCGCTGAACTAAAACCTCAATATGACGTGGTCGTTGTGGGCTCAGGTTATGGTGGCTCTATCGCGGCATGTCGCATTGCAAGCACGGGGAAATCTGTGTGCTTGCTGGAGAAAGGAAAGGAGTGGTTACCTGGGGAGTTTGCCGAGACATTCATACACGCAGAACGTGATCTACACGTGCATTTTGGTGCCCAAAAGTTTCACACGGGTATGTCCATGGGTTTTCAGTATTTGTGTCAATTCTAGATTTTCCACTGATTTCATGGATAGAGCAACTTTTTGAATTCAGGGAATGAATTTGAAGCCAGAATATTTATAATGAGGAGGGATTTTTAAATCTGTCACATTCCCTACGAATGAAATCGTAACATATGTTTAATATAGTTATACTATCAAGCAAATTAAATATCTTCCTGTACGTAATTTGAAGAATTTGAAGGGTATAACTTTCCACGTCTCTACTAAGTGAGTTTTAGATCGTTTTAAACACGGGATAATGAGACTTGACAAGGTGGTCTTCCACCCTGATTTCATTTATGGCTAAAACAGCTGCAAATCAATCACCAGTACTTTGACTGTTAAGGGCCTGATAAAGTGAGCACAACATACTTTTTGAGCCATATGTTGCCATGGTAACCAAGATAATGACCCCCAACTGTGATTTTAGTCACCATTTTTTAAAAAGGATACAGAACCAAAGAAGGGCTAAGAAACAAATAACTCTTATTCCTATATTCAGAAAAGGCCATCTAGGGGATGAACCTAAAAAACCTGGTAGCATTTGTTTTTTTCATTAAAAAAATAGGGCAAATCCATTTTTACAGCACAGCATGGTGCTTCAAATCCTGTTGTTTATTTTAATTATCTATTCACAAGATATATAAAATTTTAGGTTCAGGAACAAGAAAGTATATCTATATTACCACATAGAAAATTTCAAGTCATTTCGTTAAATTGTTTTAGAATTATCCTTTTTAAAAGATTTCCGGATGACCGAAAATGCTATTTTGAGAAAACGACTGTTTAAGATTGCCCACAACATACATTGAATACAAATCACTAAATATAGGCCTACAAGTATTAAAACATTACTAACTGAGTATATTTACTTTCAGTCAAAATGCACTCAGAGGCTATGTTTCTCCCTCTTCAGCTTTATCTTTGTCCCCTTTTTTCTCCCCCCCCCCCCTCTCCCTTCGAAGAATCTTCATAAAACTCAGAATACCGTAGCTTGTTCGTTTCTACCGAGCGATTGAAAATTCTTGCAGCAGGTAATTAGACTTGCATATTGGCTGATGATCAGCCTTTAAAGCTGCTGTTTCCAATGTCTTTGGATGTGTGACACATTTTGCTGAGCGGCTCAATGTCCAAAACTTTCCCAGTATCCATGAAAACTGTTGCGACAAATTTAGGGACTAAAACCCTCTCCTTTGCCAACTGTCATCACACGACACTGTGCAATCAACAACTTCATTTGGTGTCTTTTGTTTTATGTCATGAATTTCTTTGGCAGCATCTTCTATTGTTTTCTCACACACAATCTTTGCACTTTCAAGTAGAGCTTTGTTGTGTATAAAGGAATCTTGGTGGTGGTGGCATGTTCAACAGCCCACAGAATCGTTTAGCTCCAGCACGTCAGCAACCGATAAATCTCATGGCATAAACCATCTGTCTGTTTATTTCATAGCAGTTTTATTCTATTTCGAAGTACAGAATTTATTTTCCCATTTACACGAAGAACACCTCAAATTATTAAAGATAGGATCACCACATTTAGGCCGTCACATAAGCTTAAAAATATGCCTAGAAAGTGACTTTCGTTGCACACATCGGGAGGCTAATGATTTCTTTCATAAAGTAGTAGAGGAGCATGCCAAAAGAAATAATAAAAAAGCCCCCGGTCATAAGTGTGCACAACAACGAGAAATCGACCATATTCTGGTGATGACGTCATCTATAGTTCCGAAAGGTAAAAATATTCGAATTTCGAAAAATGTTTCATGCCATCAGATTGAGGTGCATAATTGGACAAAAAAACTATATTACACTGAAAACTTTCAGTTGTTCGTTACCGAGATATCACGTTCCAAAGTTTTTTTTAAAAATACTGAGTCGGCATTTTTGTTTCTCCAGTAAAGCTTATATTGACAGACTGTATGCAGGGAAAGGGCTTATTTTGCACTAGTACCTTAAATTGTGCACCACATGACAGTATCTGAATTAAAGTGGTTATGCAAGTCAGAAAACTAAAATGCGACTAAAAAATTCAAATTGTTTACCCGTCATCTCAAGCCTTTGAAAGAAACCTAGAAGATGAAATATGTTGCACAATAACTAATTTCACCATGATCAGACATGCAGTTCTTTTGGAGTAGTTCTGATATTACATGGCCAAATTTTACCAATGCACACGCTACACACAAGCAAGCCATGACTTATTATTACTGAACAGGCACATTACTCAACAGGTAATATCACTGAATATCGAAAATCTGCTATTAATTCCACTCTGTAGAATAACTTCTTTACAAGAAATTCATTTAGTAAAGTTATTCATTCAGCTACAGGCAGCCAAGGATCCATAAGCCACTTCACAGTGGCTAGCTTTTTCTTAAGCAATATAGAAGCATGATACAGAATTTGTAGCTCATTCAATATGGACTGTGTAGCGCTGTGATTATCATCATATCCCATGTTGTACAAAACCATTGAAGTTGTTTCACATGATGTCTTATCCTGTCCATACAAATAGTTAGTATAATTTTTGTATCACTTATTATGGTACTTAACCTCAATCCTGTAGTTGTCCTTTTTCTTTGTGCCAGCTTCGCGCAATAGACCTGCATCTGACGTCTCACACGCAACAAGGGTTATTCTTCACGGGTAATACTTTTGGAATAAATATTATTCAGGTGATTATTTTGCTACGTGATCGCTGTACCATTTACTAGCAACTGTATGATTTCATTTAATGATAAATATACCATATAATTACAATGTACGACATACCATGACAAACAAATCGGATTGTTTCTCGTATATTATGCATACTGGGGGCAAAACATTTGGTGATCTAGCCTTCATGTCACTATTTTTGGGGACCATCATTGTCAAGTGATGAGTGTAAAAGCTTCTTTGGTGGAACAGTCTGCAACTTCACAGCCAATTAAGATTTCACTGCCTCATGTTCTCTTTTTCCTCCACTTTTTGCAACTCCTGTCTATGTCTACTATAAAGGGGTCCGAATTTCACAATTTCACCAATTCCTGCTTTTGGGGGCCACCTGTTGCAAATTTTCTGACCCTATACAACTGAGGCTCAGGCCAATTTTCCCAATGTACTAGCAAAATGTTTATGGTCATTTTTTGTCGGGGGGGGAGGGGGAGTCATGGTAGCCGGTCAAAGATCAAAGTGCTGACATCAATGATGTAAGATCAAAGTGCTGACAGCCTGACACAAACCCCTCTCAGATATTCGTAAATTTTCCCTTACCCCTCAGAACAATAAAAAACATCAAAGTATGCCGACAGGCTTAACCACACAGAAACGACTTTGGGGTCACAGAAAAATTCATCCAAAAATTCATCCTTCAGAAAAATTCATCCAAAGAGGACGGGGGGGGGGGGGG